CTCGAATTCATTGCCCCATAAGCAAGCAAGTACAAGGACAAAAATCACCAAGTACTTTCCCAAGAGATAAAAAATGGATATGGCACTGAAGTTTACATCTCTGCCAAAACCTACAAGGAAATCAATAATCTCGTTTTATAAAAAGCAACAGCACTAAAATTTGATTGAATACATTTTTTTCAACTAAAAACAATGTGTGTCTGTTTGGTCACTAGCACCTAGAACCAGCTCTCACATTAGACACACAATAAAGATTTGCTGATGAAGTCGACTTCCACTTGTTTTTTTCCTGCCGTTTTTTTTGTTTGGGTATACTTAGGTTGTCTCATTGAAAAGAACAAAAATTCCCACCTCTAATTAAAAGAACCTGTGGCACATATTAATTTTTCAGACATAATGCTTACTCCCAGGAAAAAATGCCACTCAAACAAATTTCAAGCTGAGTAAAAATGAAAAAAGTGAAACCCACACTACTTTACTTCATAAATTTTTAAAATAACAGTAACTTAAGCTGGTGGCACAGTGGTTAAGCGTTTGGCTGCTATCCAAAATGTCGGCAGTTCGAATCCACCAGCCACTTCCTGGAAACTCTATGGTGCAGTTCTACTCTGTCCTAATTGACTTGACCGCAATGGGTCGAGTTTTTAAGCTTTTACTGTGGAAATATAACAAAAACAAACCAAACCCATTGCTGGTGATTCCTACTCATAGTGACGTTATAGGGTTTTCAAGGCTGTAATCTTTATAGGAGCAGATTGCCAGGTCTTTCTCCTTCCAAGCGGCTGGTGGGTTTGAACCACCAACCTTTTGGTTACCAGCTGTGCACCTAACCACTGTGCCACTAGGGGAAACATAGATGGCTCAAAAGTTGTCAGGGCTTAGTTTTCTAAGCATCTCTTTTGACTTTCGTTCACCTTTCCAGTTGTTTGGTAAAATTCACCAGGAAACACAATTTCAGGGAGCCCTGATCTGCTGGTTTTGCACTTTCCTGCTGTGAAGGGGTGAAATGAATAATCACTGTGTTTTATCACTCTTAAACTGCCCCTACCCCTGGAGCCAGGTCCCTGTGTGGCACAAATGGTTTGAGATTGTCTATTAAACTAAAGGTTGGCAGTTTGAACAACCCCCCAGCAGAGCTGTAGAAGAAAGGCCTAACAATCTGCTTTCATTAAGATTACAGCAATCTGGAACAGAATTTCAAATTTGCAGTGGAATCCAGACTTTCTGGAGCCCTTGAGGCTAGACGAACCCCCAAAACTATTGCCCTGAGATAATCTTTAAACTTTACACCTTAAACCAAAACTCTCCCCTGAAGTCTTCTTTGAACCAAGAAATCTCTCTCTTAATTAGTAAATGACATCTGCTTTGAGCATTGTGCTCTTCTGAAGAATTATCTACAGATCAAATTGACAAAGGCAACTGGAAAGTTTGTGGGGGAATCTTGGGGGCAGTGAGTTTAAGATAATGATGGTGGAACAATTTGGAAAAGGATGGTGAGAATGGTATCACCACTTGAAGAACGTAATCTACGTCACTGAATTATACATGCAGAAATCGTTGAAATGGTGTATCTTTGGCTGTGCATACTTTCATCCAAAAAAAAAAAAATTACACCAAGAAAACCCTATGGAACAGTTTGTAACACATGGGGTTGCTTTGGTTGGAATTGACTCAATGGCAATGGGTTTGGTTTTTTTTTTAACCCTGGAGCCAAGGCAGAGTACCCCCCCTCACCAGGGAAGGTGAGTTTCGGGCTGCCTCATGGTCCCCTAAGGAGCAGAGAGGTTCCAAGTTTCAGCATTGTTTTGGGAAATGTGAATTAGATTACAAGTTACAGGAGAGCCCTGTGTTGATGTGTCTTAAGGAAATCAGTCTTTACAAGACAATGCCCATGCAAAGACTGCCAGTGGAGGGTGGGGCAGTTCAGAGGGGGTTCAAATCGACAACTATGTGGCCTTGGTCAATTCTTTAGACCCCTCTGTGCCAAAATCTCCCATCTATAAAACGGAGATATAAATTATACCTACTTAAATCAACTTGACAGCACAAGAAAACAACAAGGACAACAGTCATCATGGAGTCCCTAGGTGGTACAAACGGTTAAAGCGCTCAGTGGCTAACCGAAAGGCTGGTGGTTCCAGTCCACCAGAGGCACCTGGGAAGAAAAGGATGGAGATCGACTTCTATAATATCAGCCATTGACAACCCATGGAGTGCAGTTCTACTCTGACACACATGGGGTCGCTGTGAGTTGGAACTGACTTTTTTTTTAAGGTTATTATGAAGATCGAGATAAACAGTTAAGCACAGTGCCTGGCACACAGTAACACATATTAACCATCACTGTTAAGGAGCCCCAGATACCCAGTGGTTAAACACTTGGCTGCTGACTGAAAGGTCGGCGGTTTGAACCAACCAGCTGCTCTGAGGAAGAAAGATGCCGCAGTCAGCGTGTGCAAAGATTACAGCCTTGGGAACACTATGGGGCCACTCTAACCCTGTCCTATAAGATCAGAATCGACTCAACAGCAACAGGTTTGGTATCGTTGTTGCCGTTAGGGGCTGTCAGGTGGATCTTCCACTCACGGTGACCCCACGTGACAGAGCAGAACTGCCCCAGAGGGTTTCCTAGGCTGTCACCTTTACGGAGGCAGATCGCCAGGTCTTTCCCCTTGAAGCCACTGGGGGCGGGGAGGGTCCTAACTGCCAACCTTTCAGTTAGCAGCTGAGCGCTTAACTGTTGCACCACCGGGGCTCCTCATATTAGCTATTATTAGCAGTAAACGTAGCAGAAACATAAAAACATGAGTGAAAGGAAAAAAGGTGTTATTTGTGGGTTTAAATGCTTTGAACTTCAAAAACAAGAAACATTTTCCATAGTAAGAAATTGTAGAATTTTTAAGATAACCTCCACTGATCTAATAAAACCTTTAAAGTGCAAAGTTGGTAACATCCAGCCAAGCACACACTTAACAAATATTCTTGAATGTTGATATACCCAAGCAACAAGTTGCGATTCTTCTGAAAGTCATTTTCAACAGATCACGCTGTACATCATCTGCATATTTTTAGAGACTCGGCCTGGGGGCTCAGTAACATTTATTTTAAGCTCTGATTCTTTAAAGCAAAGCTCGCGTCACCATGCCCTTGCCCCAGGATTCCTCACGGGAGGTACAAGGCCAGGCTTCACAGGCTTCACAGAAAGAGCTGCGCTGCTCTGAATTCCTTTCCTTTTCTCGTATCGTGTGTGGCCGCAGCAAGGGCAGCGAACGAGTAATCTGAAGCCTCCGATCAGCCTTCCTTCCTGAGTTTCCTTTCGAGATTTAGCTCTCTGTCTTTGCTGTTGTTGTTGTTAGGTGCTATCAAGCTGATTCTGACTCACAGCGACCCCACGGACAGAGCAGAACTGCCCCAGAGGGTTTCCTGAGGCAGTAATTTTTACGGGAGCGAATCTCCAGGTCTTTCTCCCATGGAGCCGCTGGGCAGGTTAGCAGCCGAGCCTTAACCATTGTGCCACCAGGGCTCCTTCTCTGTCTTTAACCAGAAAACCAAAGCCGTTGTCGTCAAGTTGATTCAGACTCATAGTAAAACTGTCCTGTAAGGTTTCCAAGGAGCAGCTGGTGGATTTGAACTGCCAAACTTTTGGTTAGCAGCCAAGCTCTTAACCACTGCACCACCAGGGCACATCTCTGTCTTTAGAACCTTGTTATAGCATGCCTTATTTTCCAGCAAGACCATCTGCAAAGAAAGATCCTGAGGTCCAAGGGCATCCTGTGTCTGCTCAGGGACCTAACGGTTGGTTGGAGCCCTGGAGGCAAAGTGGTTAAGAGCTAACCAAAAGGTCAGCAGTTGGAATTTACCAGCTGCTCCTTGGAGAAGCCCTATGGAGCCGTTCTACCCTGTCCTGTAGGGTTGCTATGAGTTGGAATTGACTCAACGGCAATGGGTTAACAGTGAGTTAGTCCAGAATGTCCTGTCTTCCAAATTCAGAAACCAAAAGTGGTGTTTCTGAACTACTCACCAAAACACGCCCTCCGGCAGCCTGACAACGAGGCCATGGGACGCAAGTGTTGTCACCCTAGAATCCCGGTGGTCCTTGAAGAGCTGTTACTGTTTTTACTCATTTAAATAATACATAAATACACGTGAATAAATAAAACGGGACAAAAGATTATGACTAAAAGATTTTTTTTGACAAAAGATTTTGATGACAGTGCTTATTGATAGTGGAGACTCTTAACACAGTTTTTCTGGGGTTAATATTTCTAATTGCTAAATTATTATTATTAGTTCGGAATACAATGTGCCCTGGTGGTGCAACAGTTAAGCGTTCAGCTGCTAACGGAAGGGTTGGCAGTTAGAACCCACCCAACGGCTCCACGGGAGAAAGACCTGGCGATCTGCTCCCATAAAGATTACAGCCTAGGAAACCCTATGGGGCAGTTCCAGTCTGTCACATGGAGTCGCTATGAGTCGGGATCAACTCCAGGACACCTAACGACAACAATACTCCTGAATGCAGCAGGGAAGTGTGAGATTGAATTGTATTTGCTGAGGATATTGTTTGAAAGCCCCTTTACCCTTAATTTCTTTTTTTTTCTTTTTTCTGAAATCAAGGACCCTAACCATTACTTCATGGGAGCCCTGGTGGCACAGTGGTTAAAGCGTTCAGCTGCAAAACCAAAAGGAAGGTGGTTCAAACCCACGAGCCGCTAGATGTGGCAGTCGGCTTTTGTAAAGATTACAGCCTTGGAAACCCTATGGGGCAGCTCTTCTCTGTCCTATAGGGTCGCTGTGAGTCGGAATTGACTCCACAGCAATGGATTTGTTTTGTTTTTTTTTTTGGAGGGGTAACTATTTTCTCTTAAAAATTACCTTATGGAATCCAAAAAAATCTTTGGAAATTAGGGAAACACAGTCCCCTCCGCTTGAAGTGGGGAAGTCTAACAGAGTCCGTGTCTGGATGAGCTTAAAGAGGGGTGTGTGACGCCTGTACTCACCAGGGGTTCGGCCATGATGATGCGGATCTTGCGCTCGGCCTGAGTGGTGAAGTTGACGAACAGACTCTTGAGGACATATTCTCCTGGCTTGCTGTCTGGGTCCACACTGATGGGGAGCATGGTGGGTGGCCCTTTCTCCTTCTGAGTGCCGGAAACGGGGGCAACTGGAGGCTTGATGTAACCGTTGCCAACTGGAGAAGCTGAAAACAGAATGGATAGATATGCTTACTGGCTGCAAATAACGTCATCAGTATGCAGACGGGCTGTGTTAACCCATGCATATAAGGCAATGACTCTTCATCAAGGAAGTTACATTTACGATCATAACCTGGTCTTCTTCTTTAGAAATGGTGTCAGAATCCAGTTATTCTGATTACATTATGTTTGCGTTCCATCATATGTAATAAGCTCAGAATACTAATAATTTTGTGAGTACATAATATAAGTGATAAATCCTACAACATTTAAGATGTTTTTGGCTTCTTTTTTATGTTCCAGGAAAATGGACTCGAAAAACCAAAAAAACCAAACTCATTGCTGTCGAGCCAATTCTGACTCATAGTGACCCTATAGGACAGAGTAGAACTGCCCCATGGGGTTTCCAAGGCTGCAATCTTTATGGAAGAGGATTGCCACATCTTTCTCCCCAGGAGTACCTGGTGGGTTTGAACCACTGACATTTCGTTTAGCAGCTGAGCGTTTAACCACTGTGCCACCAGGGCTCCCATTTGGTTTGCCGTAGGACTTAATCAACTTAATAATAACAGCAATCACCAGGTTGATATTGTATGTAATTGCAAGCCCAGCCTCATAATTTACAAGAATCTGGGGCCTAAATGTCTTGACAATAGCAAGGGAATTTTTACGAGCGTGAGCTCTGTCAGTCCGTATTTTGAACCAGATAGCTGACAGCCAGACACAGAATATCCCTCTGATGAATCTTCCACTTAAAAGGTCCAAGTAGCAATTAACTGCTAAAATAAGAGAACGTTATCTACTTCTACTTCAAAGTCCGGGTGTCTTTGTGAGGACAAAAGTCAGTGTGGCCAGCCTTAGCAAGCAGGAACTGCTGTAGGGCCACGCCGGAGCAGAAAGCCATCCCAGGGGACAGCACCCATCACCCTGAGTTTCAAACATACCAGCCTGAGCAGATGGAGAGACAGTAAAAGTTACTGGAGCAAGTGTCCTTGAACTAGAGCCTCTCCCAATTCCAGTAACCCTCTTCATCCTAATTAACCCATAGCAAATCCTAGCGTTTCTTGAGGATAATTGTATGACACAAAACTCAGTATTTGGGGACCAGTGGTGTAACGGTTTAAGCGCTTGGCTGCCAGACAAAGACCTGGCGATTTGCTCCCGTAAAGATTACAGCCTAGAAAACCCTATGCGGCAGTTCTACTCTGTCACACGGGGTAGATGTGAGTCAAGATCAACTCGATGGCACCCAACAATAACATATATATATGTCTGTGTTCGAGAAGGTAGGAGAGTGACATAAATTTCTAAAAGATTTCCATTCAAAATAACAAAACTAAGAATGCATTTTGGTGTATAAAGGGGACGATGCTCACCATTCCTAGCCTCTCAAGAATGAAGTCTATTTCTTCACAATTTTGATTTTTAAGTTAAATTTGGTTTTGGTTAAAACTAACACACACACACCCGTTGTGTGCCAGCCCCACTGAGGCCCCACTTTCTAGCTTTTCGAGGACAGTCACTATTTACTACACCCCTCTCCCCCAGGGGGCCTTCCCTGCTTTTTACCATGCCTAGCTAGCAAATCTGCCCCAGCCGTGAGGTTCCAGAAGTGCACCAACCATTTGCGTGCATTTCGTAGGCTGGTTAAAATTCTAATCTCCACCAGAAGGGACAGATACGAGGCTGGCTGAAGGTATGGCTCCGAGAAGCAGATCCTGCCTAAGCCCGTGTGTCTGGATTTTTTTGTCCACCAGGAATGCACGCTGCATTCTTCCCTCTCCACCGAATCTAAAACTAAACCCACTGCTGTCAAGTCGATTTCGACTCAAAGCGACTGGACAGGACAGAGTAGAACTGCCCCATAGGGTTTGCTAGGCTGTAATCTTTACAGAAGCAGATGGCCAAGTCTTTCTCCCATGGAATGGCTGGTGAATTCAAACCGCTGACCTTTCAGTTGGCAGCTCCAAACCATAATATCTGAACGCCTTTGGGCAGATACAGAAGAGCAGGTTTCTCTGTCTACTGACCCTGTTTAAGTTTTCTTTTAGAACTTATTACAATCTGAAAGATTGTGTGGGAGGGGGAGGTGCACACACACACACCCACACACACACGTGACCCTGCCTCTGTAGAACGGAAGCTCCATTAACTGCTCTATTCACTGCTATCTTCTAAGTGCTAGAATCTAGGCATTCATTAAATAAGTATTTTTTTGAAATGAATGAGTGAATGAATGAATGATAGCCAGTAGGTAGATGGTGGTATTACTGCTCTAAAAATCTGACTTAAAAAAATTGCTTTCCTGTAACATACAAGAAACCCAACAAACCCAAACCAGTCAACTCCAACTCACGGCGACCCCATGTGTGTCAGAGTACAACTGTGATCCATGGGTTTTCAGTGGCTGATTTTTCAGAAGTAGATCACCAGGCCTTTCTTCTGAGGCACCTCTGGGTGGACTACACCTTCAGTTAGCAAAGTAACTGTGTTCGCAAAGTTAGAAAGTGAGGCTGGTACTGAATTGATGTTTGTTTTAACCAAACACAAATTTAACTTAAGAATCAGAAATATGAAGAAGTGAGAAATGAGTGGAGCAGACGGTTGAGGCACTTGGCTACTAACTGAACGTTTGGTGGGTCGAGTCCACCCAGAGGTGCCTTGAAGAAAGCCCTGGTGATCCACTTCTGAAAAATCAGCCATTGACAACTCTGTGGAGCACGGTTCTACTCTGACACGCATGGGGTGGCCATGTTGCAGTCGACTCAAGGGCAGTTGGTGGATGGGAAGAGTCAAAACGCCCAGTGTACACTCAGCTTCCTACCTCCCTTCACAAAGCACAGGACTGCGAAAAGAAGAATCTCTTTACCTGCTTTCGTCAGCAGCCCACAAAGACAGACAAGCACAGAGCCTGTTTTTCAAAACACTCAATGCTTTTTCAGATGCTCCCATTACTGGAGTCTGACCCAGATCGTTTGAAATAAAAACTAGTTCCCTTTGAGATTATAGGGGTTAGCCATCCAAAGCGTATACTCCTCTTAGAAACGGGGGTACATTTGATGTCCCAAGACGGTCTACCTTAAACGAGTTTCTAGAGATCAGGGTAACCTTAGGTAAGTGTGCGGCTGCTAACTGAAAGTTTGGTGGTTCGAACCTACCCAGTGGCTCCGAGGGAGAAAGACCTGGCAATCTGCTCACGTAAAGATTACAGCCTAGGAAACCCTATGGGGCAGTTCTACTCTGTCACATGGGGTCACCATGAGTTGGAATCAACTTGACAACAATGGGTTTTTATGGGTTATCTTTTCACATGGGAGAAACTGTATCAGATCTTTTGGTGCACAAACCAAAAAAAACCAAACCATTTGCCGTCGAGTCTATTCTGACTCATAGTGATCCTGCAGGACAGAGTAGAACTGCGCCATAGGGTTTCCAAGGAGCAGCTGGTGGATTTGAACTGCTGACGTTTTGGTTAGCCGCTGAGCTCTTAAGCACTGCGCCACCAGGGCTTCTCTTCGTGCACAGTTGTATATGAATTGTTCTTTCATTCAGGTCTCAGCGCCTCGCTGACTCTGCCGGTTCTGAAGGCAAAGCTTGTTAGTAAACAAGAGCTGAGATCCTTCTTTAGGAGCATGCCTTCCTCCCCACCCCCCCTCCATCCCTCCTTTCCCATAAAACTAACAGTGTTTACTGGTGTTACTGGAACGTCTCCTAAACCAAGGATGAGGCATTACTATGAGAACCTGCCACACTGTGTATAGAACCATAATACACTGTCCACTAATGCATGCATGAGGCTGTTTAAGGAATGGCACTTTAAAAGCCACTGCAGATACTCAAAGTGACCAGAAACCCTGAAAAGCCATAGATCGCAAGTGAGGACGAACGACAACAAACTCCAAAGATGACAGGAAGAATCATATTTCTCTGAGAAGAATTATTAAGGAATAAAAAATGTTGGGATAAGAAGCAGTAATTAGTTTGAACAACAGAAGAAGATTTCTTAACAAAGACAGGGATGATTCCTAAATATTTTAAAGTAGACCAAGAAAAGAGTATCAGGTAAAAAATACCCTGAAACAATGTTTGCCTTGGAAGAAAAATGTATTCAATGATACATTGATTTTTGCTTAATTTCCATAAAATTCCCTCCCGATTTTTTTAAATGTTAGAATTCAAACACATTCTTTAAAATTTTTTAACAATATTTTTTAACTGTGATACATAGTTAAGTCACGGAACATCAGCCATGTCAACAATCTTCACGTGTACAGTTCAGTGCCATTAATTATGCTCATCATGTTGTTCAACCAGCACCCTTAACCGTTCCCAAATTTCTTCATCACCCGCAATAGAATCTCAGTGCCCCCTAAGTACTGTGCCTTCCTTTCTCCTCCTAGTTTTGTTGGTTAAATAGATTACTAAAGGAGCCCTGGTGGCACAGTAGTTAAGCCCTCAGCTGCTAACCGAAAGGTCAGCGGTTTAGCTCCACCAGCTGCTCCACAGGAGAAAGATGTGGCCATCTGCTTCTGTAAAGATGACAGCCTTGGAAACCCTATGTGGCAGTTCTACTCTGGGCTATAGGGGTGCTATAAGTCAGAATCGACTCAACGGCAATGGGGGAAAAGAGAGGAGCACAAAAAAAAATCAAGAATTGAGGACCCATAAAAATATATGAAATCTGATTAATGCTGCACCTAAGAAAGGTCCAGCAACTATCTTCTTCTAGATGCACTGATGATGTGATATTTTTCAATAATATTTTATTATGTTTCAGGCGAAGGTTTACACAGCAGTTTAGGTTCCCATCCAACGATTCTGACACAAGTTGTTCGGTGACATTGGTTACAAGTCTTCACAACGCGTGGACATGCTCATTATTTCTGTTCTGGTTGTTCTGTTTCCTTTAATCTAGTTTCCCTGCTCCCTCACATTCTCATCTTTGTTTTAAAGTAAGTGTTGACCATTTCATCTCATATATGTGATTTTGAAAAGGAGCACGGTC